AGGGAAAGTGAGAGGATGAGATCTTACACACACACACACCCACACACACACACCAACACACACACGAGCGCATCTTCTTTATCTCTCAGACATCTGCTTTCATTCACAACTGTCAGCACCAACTGTGTTGCATCTACAGGTTTTTTTTCCTTCTGTCCTTCCTCTCTCACACCCTCCTCCTTCCCCTCATCACGCTCCCCTTTTCACCTTTTTTCAATCAATGGAAATCATTCATTCGGGAGCGAGAAGCAATCCCCTAAATGAGACGCACGCTGTCGATCCTGAAGTAGTCTCTCTGGGCTAAGCATGCTGCCAGTCAAAGTGTCAGGCTGGTGTTTGATTATCCTTCACCTACCCACTGCGACTGACTGCTGCTGTCCTGCAGTGTCTCTCAGCACAATCGCTCCTTTGATTTTCAATCAGACACACTGATACACTAAACAGACACACCCAAGCAGGCAACAGCCTCATGCAGAAGCAGATTCATATCTTTGTACTGTACAGTACGTTTTCTATTTCACATTGGAATCTATGTTTTAATCAAAAAGCAATGCTCCTTCACAGTTATTGATTGTTTAAGTAATGCTCCAAATGCTTCAGCTTCTAAATAATGAATATCTTCAGGTTTTTGAATGTCAGCCGGGACAAAAGTAGTATGACGATCTCACACTGGGCGGTGGAAACTGTTGACATTTAGGCTAAACAATTAATCAATTAATTTTTTAATATTTAACAGATAAACTCATAATGAAAATAATCATCAGTTGCAAACCTAGAACAAATAACTGTGCTAAAGTCAACATTCGATTGGTAGGCAGGAGCAATTCTATGGGTTTTTGGGTGCATGTGTGAAGGACTGCAGTGTGTTTGAAGATCCCAGATCAAAAGGTATTGTGGATGTCTGAGCCAACCTCCAGTCCTAATTACATAGACGGGGGGGGAGGAGTGGTTTTGAACAGGTAGGCAATTTAGCCTGGCCTACACACACACACACACACACACATACACAGCCTGAGTCAGAGAGTGCTGACTAAACCCTCATCTCCCCATTTGAGTCTGCTCACCAAATATTTAAATTTGTGGCAGAAAAAGCATCAACAACAGTGAATAATACAGGACTATTTAACCTATGGCACACTAAATTTGTATGTGTTTATATAATTAATGATGTATCAATTCATTATTATGAATTTCAGTTAGATCAGAACAAAAAAGGGTGCAGCAAGGATTGCTGTAAATTTTTTATCGAGCTTGACAGAATAACAATCATCTCGTTTCAATGCCCGAGGAAAATTTCAGCAGCATGTTTTTCTCTGCCAGCAAACAGTGGAAATAAGGTGAGGTGGAATAAATGCAACTATACACCTGAAAGCAGAGAGAGACAGTTGAGATTTATGGAAAGGTGAATTCAAAAAGACTTATGGTTTGTATTCTGCTGAACAGGTACAGGATGACAAGCAGCACTGTACCCTCGGCTGAACATGCTATACAGCCTCCTTCAACAGACAGGAACTGTTGCACCAACCTGGCAGCGCACCAGTCACTAAACGGAAGCCATTACTAAGCAGATTATGTTGTCGGTCCACTGTGTGTGTGTGTGTGTGTGTGTGTGTGTGCGCGCACATGCTGGTACGTCTCAGCTAGGAGTGATGGCTTCCAACAGGCAGGTCCATCTGTCACCGTGGCGACAGTGCCTGGTGACCATGGGGAACTGACAGACGGTCTCCAAGCAACAGTTGTGGTGAGCTGCTCTCCACTGTACAGTGATGGAGTTTGAGGCTCACATCAGCTGTGAATGGCAGCAACCTGGACGTGACAGCCCTGCAGAGCAGCCTCTCTGTTTGTAAACAGTGAAATTAAATGTCACAGAGGGGCATAACAACATGACTAAATGCTGTAGATACCAAAGATGAGAGACCGCATGTGCAAAAAGTTTAAAGAAAGTAATGGAATAGAACATCTTTTTTGAAATGAATGGAATTATCTAAAGCACCTAGAAATGCTTTCCTCCTTCCATTGCTTTTAAGAAGCAGGGGTGAAATCCCCACTCCCACAAATGCACACATCCACCTCTGCAGAGCATTGTCATGGAAACAAAACATGGTGCAATGGTGTAGATTTATGACTTTCCCAGCTACGGAGGTGTGAAGACATGGGAGATTTGGTGGGGGGTGAGTGAGAGAGAAGCATACATTGCCCCTGTGCAACAAGCAGTGATTCACCATGTCAGTCCTCCAGCAAGCCAAAAACTGAGCAGAGGTAAATCGTGAGCATCCTGTGGGCCAACCGCTTCCCCATCACTGTGTTTCAAGACTGCATTGCTGTTCGTTATGGTGCTGCTGGAATGTGTGGTCAGCAGAATTTTTAATTGGAAGTGGGCAAAAATATGACACTTCCTGCCTATAGAGTGAATTGATTTCCTGCTTCGGCCTGTGCTGGGACCCATCATCAGCGTTTATCTCTGTCTAATGGGTGTGTACAAGGCTGTCCACATTATATGGGCCTTATGGATGTCCACGTCATTAACTGCGAGTTTGTTTATATGCATTATGTAAGTTCACATAATTGTGATTGTGCCCAGCAGTGTGTGTCCTCAAAGACTGTGGATCTGTGGTGTGCTTCTCGACGGGGGCATTTACAGGTACACATTGGTACAGCAATGATCCACTTGGTTTTACCCTCTGTAAGCTTCCTGTCCATGAGAAAAAACAAGGGATAACACACATTTCAACTTCCTGTTTGTCTTCAAGGGTACAATAAATCTTCTTCAAACTGTACTTAAAAGCAATGAGGGGAAACAAACTAATTTAAATAGTGTAAGACTAAAATATTCTCTTGTGCTTTAACACTACAGATGCTACGGATGATTATGTCTAAATGGAGGTCTTGTCTAGTCAAGCAGATATGGAAAGTGACTGTGCTGTGGAGGGTTTCATCAAACACACTGATATTTGCAAAATAGTTTAACACTTCTTGCCTGTGTTAGTCCCTCAACCTGCCATTTGCCCATCCACTGGCTGTGTGGGAGGAGAGAAAAGGTCCGTCTCTCATTCTGAGTGGAGGGCGAGGCCTGATTGTCCAGAAGGGACTGACGCGTCACTGTTGAGTGAGAAGTAATGAAGTGGGGGGGGGGGGGTATCTGACATCCTTCCATCCACCTTTCAAACACTCTCTAGCCTTCCATTGCCTACACATGGCTACAAACAGTTACTGCAGCCAAGCACAAATGACCTTGCATTCATTGCTACACCTGCCTGGCCTTACAAACAAGTTAAAAAAAATAAAATAAAATAAACAGCCCGAGTGTGACACTGCATGCACGCTAAGACAAATCGGCTTCTTTTTTTCAAGCTGACTAATGACATGAGCTGCTGGGCTACTGAGAGGTTCTGTTTCAAAAATTCTGCAACCAAACATGTTTTTGCAGACAAAAAGCTGTACAGCAGGTGTATATATCCCTATGGACTCCATACTATTCCACCTTTTTAATGGGAACAGGGGAAAGGAAATTAACATCTGTACTATGGCAAGACATCAGAGGCCAAAATGAATTATGTCAGCACATCAGTGGGGGCAGAAGAAGACAGGCAGGGGAAATGAGCACATTAGAGCACTGTAATTAGACAAATGAAAGAACAATGTATCAGGAAACACAGACCTGATTGAAGTAATAAATCATGCCCGTGTGCTATTTCCTCTGTTTAACCGATGAAACAGTCAAAATCTCACAATTTGACCTGTGGACTGTTGGTGCTTTGTATCTACCACTCAAACTAAATGGGTCAAAAAGAGGTCAGTCATGACTAATATAGTCTGCTCAGGCAAATATGCTCAGATGAGTAGAGGTGTAAAGTAACTAAGTACATTTACTCAAGTACTGCACTTGAGTACACTTTTGCGTTGTCTGTACTTTACTTGAGTATTTTTTTTTATCTGTTACTTCATACTTCAACTTCACTGCATTTCAGAGAAAAAATGTGCACTTTTTACTTGCTACATTTATTTGATAACTTTAGTTATTAGTTCCTTTGAAGAATGATATTAAACAGAATACAGTATATTCATAAGGCTTCATGGATCTTAGGTGGTTAATTCACAAGCTACCCAGCAGTACTTCCATTTATAAGCATATAAGGTGGTTAAAATTAGCTCCGCCCTCACCAGCTGCAACTTTAAATGGGATGTACACAACAACATATCAATAATTATAATCCAATTATACAATATACATTAATGTGAAATGTGCCATTATGATTAATGAGTACTTTTACTTTTGGTACTTTTGTACGTTTTTATGCCAATACTTTTGTACTTTTACTTAACATTTTGAATGCAGGACTTTTACTTGTAACAGAGTATTTTTACAGAGTGGTATTGCTGCTTTGACTTAAACGATCTGAGTATTTCTTCCATCACTGCAAATGACATTAACATTCCCAGGTTTTCACACAACATGCAGTCTGCCCTCCCAACATTCAGCATTGTGACTACTGTGGGGTGAAAACATACTGTCACATTTGACACCCAAGTGACTTGCGCACATGCTCACACACTGAGAAATACAGCGAGATGGGTGAAGAGGCATACTGTTGCCTTCTTAATGAGTACGCATGCGATCCTCAGTCATTGGCTCCCATTTTCCTGTGGGCGAACGGGTGCAAATTTATACACTGGCAATGGGGAAACAGAAAAGAGGAATGTAGAGGTGGACGAGGGGTTGATCTGTACCAATTAAGACTGTACCAGGGTGTTTCTGGCTGCAATCTATAATTGGATGCAAGACTGTTCGTGTCTCAGACCGACTGAGTGCGAGTACTGTATGTGTGGGTGTATGCACACATAAGTGGTGAAGAGAATGTTGATGGATAGAAGGAGAGTGAGAGCAAAGACAGCACAAAAGAGAAAGAGATATACATGTGTGATAAGCAAAACTGACATCAGGACACCCAATTAGAGGCTTGTGTTCCTTGCTGCTGCTGCTGCTGCTGCTGGAGCAAGCCAGAGAGAGAGAGCAGTGATGAGAGTAAGAGTGGGACAGTAATTAATGCATAGTACCTAGAACCTTAGTTTATCATCACAGAGTGTGACTGTGTGTGTGTATGTACATTAGCAACACATACGACATGGGAGCAGTGCAGTAATACAAAAACAAAAATAAGATCTGCACTCATTCACCATTCAGTTTCCCAGTCCTAACCTAGCCTACCTACCCAAGGAGTATTAGCATCGCATTTGCTCAGGTTATAGAGTGGCTGGCCCAACTGGCTTGGCAGGCAATCACATAGGAGAGCCAAGCCCTCACAACTGTCTAACCACTGTAACTGCTCTACCACTGCTGTTCTTCAATCAAAAGAAAACTACATCAGTAATGAGCCCACTGAATCACTAACTGCATTATCAGCAAAACCACTGTAAATTCTGTGTTGGTGTAAGAGTGAAGCCAAGTTTACAGGGTCATGAGGTGGGCACAATCTCAATAACTGCTGCTTTGTTGAGTTGAGCTCATGACACCGAGGCAATGTGTTCCGAGATACAATTAGTACTGAAAAAGTAATCGATGAATTAGTTAGTTGAAAAAAACAAAACAAAACAAGATATCCGAAGATGTCATCTTTCGCTCTAGGGAAAGTGTAACAGTGATTTTTCACTTTACTCTGACATTTTATAGACAAATCAATCAACTGACCAAATAAATAAGTAAATTATTCAGTACCAGAATAGGAATGGCAGCTAGTTGCAGTCCTAGGTCAAATGTAATTTTGTTGTTCATATTTACAACAAATAAAGAATTCAAACGTATATACAATCCATGTCCAGGGGCCAGACTAGACCGAGTATTATCCAGTATTTAGCAAAATAGCATAAATATAGTTAAGCTTTGGCACCAATACCTAAACAAGGCATTTTTTGAAGAATATAAACACATTCTTCTGCAAAATCCTGTTATTTAACAAAGAAGTCAAACAAATATATGAACAACTAGCTGTACTAGAGCCCTGCTTAAATAAAACACAGTAAATTAGTGAGCCGTTTGTTCAAAAACAAGTAAGAAGGGTCTGACCAGGGATTTAATGCCAGGTTTCAGGATTTGACAGCTTTTTATACTCGGCGATATAAACACATTTTGGTTGGTAGAAAGACAAATATGGTGGTTTGATACACAGCAAGGACAGAAAAAAAAGTTGACACGACTCCGGTTTGTACACCGACTCTGTAATTACTGACTGTGTTGTGATCAGGCTCTTCAGCAGAATGATTCTTTGTACAACATACAGTAATCAGTACTTGGTGCTTAAATGCGCAAATGGGAGAAGTGCAGTGAGCAGACTTTAGCTCTGTTATTAATCTGCATGAGACGGGTTGGTTCTGCTGTAACACATATTAAATACTGTGTTTATATCCTGTGTCTATATGTGTCTGATTTTACTGTCAAAACCCAAAGCAGGATAAATTCAACCATAAAATACCTTTAGTAACTCTGGTTTAATTAACATGTTCCATATGCATTAGCCTCCTCCACACATTTGTATTTTTGTTCTCCACCATTCCTTCTATCAAGGTCACATCTATCTGTGGCTATCAAAGCCTGTGCATTCACACATGCCAAGCTGAACTGCCTTCTGTTTTACTGACTGCCCATGTATCAACTTATGGGCTTGTGTAGACTAGCACGATGAAGAAATGTTACTCATGAGCAGAAGCCAGAGAAGAGGGGGTAGAACGGTTTGGTCTGTGTGTGTTTGGAGTGTGGGTGTGTGTCAAGAGGCGAGACAAAGAGAAAGTGTGGCAGAACAGAGAAAGAGATGGAGATGCAAATTGAGACAGAGTCAAACATGTAGAGAAAAAGACAAAGAAGGACAGGAAGTCAAGTGAGACTACAATGTGACTTGATCTGACCAATTTCACTCGACAGTTCAGAGCATTTAACCCTAAAGAGTATAAAGCTATGTGTGTGCACAAATGCACAAAAACCTTGCAGCTACTTGAATTATTAAGCCACGAAAGCAAGCTATGGACAGTCAGCCATAAAAAATCATCCAATTACTTGTATCACACAGTGCGTTTTAGAGCTCTGGAGGTCTGTGAGTCTGACAGGGATCAGAGGGAAAACACTAAAATTCACTAAGTTCAGTTTTATCATCCATTCACTGTTGCTTCATTTCCATGTAGTACTTCTGCAATTTTTCAATCACAAGCCTCAACAAAAGCTGCCTGGTGCATGTTAAATAGCAGTATTCACGTGCCAGTGCAGTGTTTTCGCTGCATTGACCAACCGACACTGAAAGTGTATGTTAAGAGCAAAATGTCAGACTTCAGCTCACATCAATCCAGATAGCCAAGGTGGGTGGTTAAAAGGCAAGCCAGCACAAGTGATGGCAAATGTCAAAGTGCTCTCTGTAAATCTGAACAGCCAGTAAGGCAAAAACCTATTATTTTTTGTTGGTAGCACCAAACAGATTTGGGGAGAGCTTTGTTTTGCTTTGCAGTACTGTAACATATGTGCACATGAATCAGACACTCCCTTATAATTTGATACCTTCCTCCACCTTCGTAATTCCCATGTGCTCTCATCAGTTATGACACAGGTATCACACATACACAAAGACACTGGCCTCCACTCACCTCTCTGCACCAGCATGGTGACCTCGCTGCCTTTGGGACACTTGCTGAGCAGGTCGACCACCTGGTTGTGTGACATGCTCTGCACGTTTCTCTTGTTCACTTCCACGATGATGTCCCCCTCCTTGAGGCCGCGACAGCGAGGGTAGTCCACGATTTGCTTCACTCTCTGCCCTCCACCTCCAGGACTGTCAGCAATGGTGAAGCCAAAACCCTTGTCTCCTTTCTCCATGTGTACGGTGATTAGTTCCGGTTGTGTGGCGATGGATGAGGCCAGAGTGACCACATCGCTGGGGTAACCATGCTGGGAAGAGGTATTGGAGACCACTTCAGCAGAGGGGCTGTGGGGTCGGGGGAGACCATTGAGGGGTGCCCCGCCATTGGTTGAGCCGTTGTTATTGTTCTGACTGCCATGGCTGGATGGCGAGTCGTAATTGTTGGGGGCCTCCTGGCCATTGACGATGATGGGGTCTTTGTTGTCGAGAATGGCCACTGAGGTAACCAGGCTGGTGTTGGGGTCATCGGGGTCAAAAGGCAATGGGTAGCCACGACAGAGCTCCAAGTTGACCATGGAGCCAATTGGGATTGACTGGAAGATCTTCACAACTTGGGCATGTGTGTAGCCAAGCACACATGTATCGTTAACACTCACAATTACATCACCTGAGACATGGAGAAGAAAAACTTGTTCGTTTCATTTTGTAACAAACCGCTGTTCTGCTGATGTTAATGCTTGACTTGGTGGACACAGGTTACACCAACATATTTTTACATGTGGTTACAACCAGCATTCAGAAAATCAAAGTAAAGCAGTATTTTTGTTTTGTAAACTCATATATTCAGTACACCAACCTGTTTCCATCTTGCCATCGAGGGCTGCCGGTCCATCCAGGACCAGGCTCTTTATCTGCAGGAACTCATCTGGCTCGTCGCCTCCAACAACAGTGAAACCGAACCCTCGACGACTCTTTTTCAGCTTGGTATTGATGAAATTCCCCTTCAACTCAGATCGGTTCCGAGTAAAGAAAGGCTTCCCTCCTGGACACAAAGACACAGATAATTTAGTTTAGACCATTCCAATACAACAGTGACGATGAACATCACAAATTGAATTAAGCAGCACTGGGAATGGTGTGCAGCAAAGCTCTTTTGGGCCTCAGTGGAATGATTTTTGCTCACTGGTGTGAAAACAGCCTTGTATAAACAGATTGATACTTATCACTAATTAAACACATGACTAACCTTTACTCTCTATGAGGCTCTGACCAGTGCAACTAAGTAACGTGCAGGTAAAGGCTATTCACTATTGTTTACTGATCAACCACAAAATGAATTGGAATGGGCTGATTATAGTAAAGGGGGTAACTGGGTTAAAAGGGAATTGAGAACACAAGTGAGGCTGCATGTGGTATGGAGTAATCCCCAGTGTAAAATGCCAGTCAATCCCGACTCAGTCGTCGACAGTAGGGTGCCCTGTTCTAGACTTCCGCCACTGCTAACCATGGCCTTGATTTTGGGCATGGCACAGATCATCTTTGGGTCTGCTGTTATTGGTAGTGGTCATATTTGCCTACTACATTTAAACTCATACTGAATATGGCAATATAGGCTGGAAAAATATTCTTATATGAACTAACTAAGACAATATTCATTACTGGAGTTTAAAGTACAAAACCACCATTAAAATGACTTCAGACACTAGGCTTTAAACGCATCAATACACCAAAAGGAAGGCAGGGCAGTTCAGACAATATCAGACAGTATTTTTTAATTTAAACAAGGTGCAAATTAAAATATATTACCTCACCTTCTTGACTTGCTAATGTCCAGGCTCCTTTTTGTTCATAATGGTGGTTTCATATTTAAATGTGTAACAGAGATCCACAAAATTTTAAAGTTATGACATCAAATTCCAGTGCCATCCCTAATACCTGGCACAGATGTTTGCATGAGAGAATTCTGACTTTGTGAATGGCTGCAGAAAGAGCAACCTCATTATTCAGCGCTGGTTGTAAAGGTTTAATTAACACAGTAATCTCTATGAAACACATTTCACAATGGCCTTAAATGAAGGGAACCGTTCAAATACTGCACTCTAAACCCGATAGCTCAGGACCCTGGCTTTCTTCTCTAGTTTCCTCTCTGTCCTGCTTTCTCTACCTCATTATCGGGCTTTAAAGATATGAATAAAATGAGATAGAATCAAACCAAAAGATGGCAGGAGGTATTTATCATCTGTGCTGTCAAGAATTACCAAACAGGGAACAGCAGTTGAATGCAGAGACAGGTTGAGCTTTAATTGTCAATTAACAGACAAAATGTAAGCTATATATTACAGTAAATTACTTCACACAAATGGACAGGGAGATGGTGGCAGAAGTAAAGAATGAACGCAAAGACAAAGGAGAGGGTGGAGCGGGTATATTAAGGAGAAGGGACTAGTGGAAAGTGTGTCTAGTGAACCGCAGTATCATATCAGGTCAGTGCAGTGCTACAGCTCATGCATTCAATGAAAAATGCATTACCCTTGGAGTCAGTTGGCGTCCTTGTGTTTGTAGTGTTTTGTGGCACGCCTGTGTGTTTGTGTGAAATGTCTTTGAATAATATTTTTCAGAACAGGCAAGATGTAACGAAACTGTGATCTGAAATGGCGGCTTCATCCACAAGGGATCCAAAGATGTACGATCAGACCAGGAAGCAGGAGAAACATGAAAGCAGGGAGTCAGATAAAGAGATTTCACGTGATGCCTTTCTCTGGAGGAATGTCAAGGTCTAGGACAGTACAGAATGTAGAAGAGAATGAGAAGCAGGGAGAGGGAGATAAGAGTGTGTGACAGAAAGATGGACAGAGCCAACAAATGAACTGAAGCAGAGAGTGGCGGAAGGCAAGACAAAAGCCAGCAAGATGCCCGCCATGAGCTGTAGAATGAAGACATCAGTGAGGGAAAAGGAAATGGCAGCTGACATAGCAGCAAGGGAGAGTAAGAGGTGGAGACAGGGTAAGGCAGTTAAGTCTCTGCTGTGGCTGTGCTAATTACACAGGTTGCTAATGGGAGGCTGGTATTAAAGGAGCTGGCACCCATGAGAAGAAAACACACCGTAATGGCTAGACACCGTGTCTGTAGGTGTGTACCGCTAAATGATGGGTGACATCAGACTGCTGCTTGATCCAGAAAATGAAATAACACTACAGAGGTTCTATGAGAATCAACATATGGCCACAGTCAAGGAACATACAGCATTAAATAAACCTGTACCCAACAAATTCACTTTCAGTTTAACTTCACAAAAATACAAATGCAGCCTCGAGTGCTCTCTTGGAAACATTCAGTCTACTGGTACATAAAAAATGAGTAAAATTTTATTTTAGTTATAAAGAGTATATGATGAAGCCTATACAGAGAGTAGCTTTATAGTGTTCCTCCATCATAAAAACCCAAACACCGCCTGAGGCATTGACTCGGGAAAACAAACTACACTGTCAGAATTGAATATGGTTTAACTCATAATAAGTCACTCAGGGTAACACAGCATAGAAACAGCAAAGCGATGACTTTAATTCTATAGATGAGAACTCACGTTTTTGTCCCATCGCGTTGGGCACGGTGGGTCCTGTCTGAGGGTCCCTGTAGGTCTCCTGGTGGTTGGCAGCATAGCTAGCCAAGGGGGCCCCTGCCAACGTCGAGTCCTCAATCCATTCTGCAACAGCAAGAGACACAAATTCTGTAGATGGGGTCTAGACAGGTACACAGCTGCCCTACTTGTGGAAGAACCCAGGGCTCTGGAACAATGAGTCCTAGTGCTGTGTGTTTGGGACAAAGCCAGTTTGCTTCATATGAAGCTGGAGGAAGTGGTGATGGAAGAAGGGCTAAAATGTTTCTGTGAAAATGACACATTTCCTGTTCTGGAATCTGTTTGACATTTACAGTATATGTATGAATGAACAAAGAGCTACTTTATTGGAGTGCTGTCCTACTCTTCATCACTCAGTACATTTGTTTTTGTGGATTCAGCACTCCATTATACAAACTGGGGTGAGTGTTCTTTTTTCTATTATTTTCAATCTGTTTTAAACTCCCCACAGAGCAACAAGTGAATGAAAATAGTTACAAATCTCTTAACTTCCCGAAGGTCATGTGAAACAAACCTACATTATAGTTTCCAATCTCCCTATTGAACATCAAGGTAGTGTGTATACCAATGCTGAATGGGTCACACACACTTTAAACTTCTTTTTATGAAGCTTTAAACACGATTTCACATCTCGCTGTTGAGTAAAAATGAAGGTTTGTGAAAACAGTGTGACCCTTCTCTTCATAATGCCCATCTTCTCTTATGAATCAACTTGTTACAGCATCACGCTACCAATCGTACTACAAACTTCATTAATATTCTTAACAGAGAGACAGAATCAATTCAGAAGTGGAAAAAAAAATAGGTGAAAACTGGGTTTGAAGGTACTGAGTTCTCGTTTTTGTGACATTGTGCTTTCATGAGGAAGCAGGTAATCAAATAGAACTGAAGGATTTCTGCTGAATGAGCAGAAGGTGGAGCATGATGGGAAAGTTCCCATATGGACCAGCCTGCATTTACAACTAATCTGTCTGCGGGCCATCCTCTGCATGCATAAAGTTTGGACAGGAAGCAGGAACAACTTAGGGTTACCTATTGGTTGAGTTTTAGCAGCTGTGTCAGTTGTTATTAGTATTATCTGTAGCACTTAGTGTTTTATTAAGTGACACAAATTAGAAAGGGGACTGTCTCTAGACAGATCGAACCTGTCTTCGCCTTGATGAAAAAGAGCAGTCAAGCTATTATCACACACAAAAAAAGACACTGACTTGAAAAAGGCTGCACGCAACAGCCGCAAATAATAGTTATGTGTTAATGGAAGGGCCCTTAGCAAATCATAAGGCGGCAGCAGGCAGCGTCAAACAGTACTGTAGCAATAATTGGTGTAAAGACGGACAATCTCACACACACATATAGACATGAGTCTATATGTATGCAGACAACTCAGTCTCACACATGAATAGAACGAAAGCAAATGACGCCCTTGGTGTGGGCTTGTGAACGAACCTCGGATGTAGCGCTCACCTTCAGGTGGCTGCTGGCGTTGGGGCTGAGGCTGCTGAGGCTGCTGCTGTTCCAGCTGCCTGCGCCTCTTAGCCTCCAGCACTGGGTTCTCATACTGGGTCTTCCTGTTGATATGACTGTGGGACAGTGAAAGGAGGGATGAGTGGATGGAGGTAAGGAATGAATGACAGGTGGAATTAATAAAAGGAAACAAAATAAGAACAGAAAAGGTTGGAGAATATGTCAATATAAGCAGGAAAGTGGTGAGCAACAGCGAGGGAAGACAGTGTAGAAGAGGTGGTAATAGAAGAGAGAAATCCAGTCAAGAAAGGGAGGGAAGACATGGTGATAAGCTTTGATTAATACACAGTTGCACAATACACATGCATCCATCCATACATCTCACTCAGACATGCACAACACAATCACACCCACTAATCACATGAAAACCAATCTCACTGTGATGATGGCTTAATTCACAGAAGGAGCACATTTTTACGTCACCCACCAGCCTGTGAGGTTTTCTACAAACCTTCCAACACCAAAAAACCCACCTCCAGCAAATGAAGGAAACTGTGAATAATGTATATTCGAAAAAAGAAAATGCAGAAACAAAAATAACAAAAATTGAAATGCCACATCCGTGAGCCCCCAGGTGCTCCTTTGACATGCATTACACATATTCATATTAATGCTGAGGCTCAGGGGCTCAACACAAGATGCACATGTATGCGCGCGCGCGCGCGCACACACACACACACACACACACACACACACACATGCTCGCTGCATGTTTCCCCAAATGGTTACGACACAAACAAAATGTCCTACATTTTCCAGTCCACAAAAAACAGCTGAGGCAAATTCTGGCTGTGATGTCTTAACAGCAGAACTACATCAACAGAAGAGCTGCTCCTATTTACAGTAAGGTCAAGAGTTTCTTTTGTTAGAATGAAAGCATTTCTATTCATGCAATAAGAAAAATGCTTCTTCTTCCTGCACACCTGTGTGCAGTGTCAGCCTGTGCATCTGCATAGGAGGGTCCTTGAGTTATATACTGTACTGTCACCACTTACTCAACATAGTAGACCCCGTAGACAGGATCATCTATTTTCTCCCATCCCGGTGGAAGTTCTGGAAAAACAGAAAGAAAAAAAAAAAAAGACAGTGAGGCTGAAGAAATAGAGAAGACTCAAGGCTGTGATGTTGCTAGAGGCCATGTGTTGAGCCATTAGAGGCAAGACTAGTAGAAACCTTTGGTCTCCTTCATTGTATCTGTCTGTCAGTCAGTCAGTCTCCAGGGTCAAAGTGACTCTACAGTGTCACAGGCTGCCTGGCAGTCCACCCTCCTCTGTCCCTCTCACATTGCTGACATTTCCACACATCAGATAAGAACAGAGCAAGACCATCTTGGGCAGAGATGAAAGGAGGTGGGAGAAAGGAGTGGTGAAAGGTTCTGAGAGAGGGAAGGCAGGGAAGACAAAGTAGAAAAAAGTGGGGACAGTCGAAGGTGAAAACAAGGAGAACTGGAGAGGGAGGGAGGAATAATTCAAGCTCCATAACCAGTGAACAAACACACACAAAAAGCTTGGTTTAAGAAAGCTCGAATCTGATGCTTTGCATGTAAAAGTGAGGAAATGACCTATAATTTTTTTCCCCTTTTCTTTTCCTTGTGAGAAACGACCTACAGCAGATAATAAAGATGCACATTTCTTATTAATTTTAAGGCTAAACTAACAAAAACATACTTGCCCTTGGCTAAACATAAAACATGGTGTGGCTGTAACTGTTGCTGTCTGCCAAAGTTTGTGACCTTCATTTTTTACACAAATCATCAGTGTGGTTTTGTGTGACTTTACCACAGACCTGACGCCACCTGTGACAAATCCTGCTTCAGCAGACTAAACTTACACCTCGACAGAAAACCTACTTCCTTCGAAGAGATAAACGGTCTTATACAAATATACTGTAGCATCCAGGGGTTCACAGTGCCTTTCTCAAGAACACTTCAACATGTGGACTGGAGAAGCCGGGGATTGAACCGCTGACCCTAGGGTTAGGGGACAACCTACTCTGCCTCCTGAGCCACAGGCAACTTTGGTGTTGAAAGTAGCTGTGCATTCACAACGATTCAAGCGTGCATGTACAGACCCTTTTGCAGAAAGTAAAAGTGAAAACCATTGTAATCAACACTGATTAGTAAAAGATATGAATGGGCCCACTTCAGGACAGTGCTTGTTGGTGCAATCTTTCTGTGTTTCTACAGTGCTTGCCAGAGAGAGTGATGCTATTATCTCCAAAAAGGGCCATGTGCTTTGATTCTACGGTCTGATTTCAACAGGACTGATTAGTGGGTGGTCTCCACACAGATCGTGTCAGAAGCTTCTAATTGGCTACAAACACAGATTGTCCAATAACCCTCTCCTGTGATGCACCAGTTTTACATATTATTACCCTCAACCAATTACTGTATGTCTCGCCCTGTGTACAAGTTGATGGTAATTGCAACTCCCTCCCTCTTCTTTCCTATAATAAGAGTCCTTGGTTGGAGTGGAGTCAGTAGCAGAAGCTGAAAAATATGGTGGATGAGAATGTTTAAATTGTCTGTACATGACACACACTGTACTACAGCCTACAGTATACTACAGTTTGCAATACTGTCAGACCAAAGAGCGGTAGCTTTCTGTGATTTAGAGCAGCCAAGGCTGAACCTATAAACAGCTGTCAATTGATGCTACTAAGCAAATCAAGCTGTTATTACTTCATATTTCCTCCCCTGCTCTAAGTAGCTAATGCAAAAAGCATGTGGTAAAAAAATGGAGCGTAAAGTTATAGTGTTGTTGTGCAGGGTGAACCGACAAAGCAGACATGGTGAGTTATCATTAAGATGTTTTGAACTGGAACGATAAACGGAATGTGGTCCCGCCTCAGCTCATGCAAAATTTTAATCATCCATTTGCTTTCACACTGCACCAGCTGTGCTCCTGTAGGCGCACCTATGTGAGCAGTGCATGGCAAGTGTGTGTGTGTGTGTGTGTGTGAGAAAGGGAGAGAGAGCGTGCACTGAAAGGATGTTTGGTGCTGCAACCATCTTCAAAGCATGATACGGGTTTCAGTGTGTGGAAATCCAAATCAGAAAGCCAAATAAAGATCTGTCAATCAGTAAGCAGACACACACACACAACTTTCACAACAACATATTGTAAATTCAAAGGGCAGTCATGCATGATGAATTACATGTTTAAATGGTCATCTTTTTCTTTTGATGCGGTGCTGAGACTGAACAAGCACGTACTGCAGAGGGAGACGACGTGTGGTATGTGTGAGGATGTGTGACTGAGTCTGCTCCTCCTCAGACAACAAACATGAACTATGTTTTGATGCCCACCTGTATTGATTAGTGGTAATCAATAATTACTGAACATGTTTATTGAGTCAAAAGTTTTTTTGTGTTCATTTTCATACATATAAGAAGCGGCCTAACCTAATAATAGAGGACTCATCTGATATGATATCATGGCAGCTATTTAAAATGCTTAATAATGGGAGCTGCTAAAAGAATGAAGCCTGATAAATGATGTATTTGCCTTCATATCAATTTTTCTGCATGTGTGCTCTTTCTTTCTTCTGTTTTTATTGTTAACTGCTGTCTGCTATTGGAAAAGAGAGAAACAGGCTATAATTAGCGTTCTATTTCTCTGGAAATGATCCTTTCACATGTAGTCATTTGACTATGTTGTTATAACAAACACTGATTAATGAAGCTTTAGCAGATGATGAAAAAAATATACTCAATTCTATAGGGTGCCATAAGCTGGGAAGATTCTCTAAACCAAGCTGATGAAAACCTTCTAAACACCATTTACCAAAACTGGAAGTGAATATAAATCAAGCTAATAGAATCTTTTCAGTAAGATTTCTTTTGTTCCCATGACAATAACAATATTCATTCAGTTATATTACAAATTCTACAAAAGGATAAGAGAATAATATAAAATGTGTGTATTGACCCTTTTCAGCCCCGCTTTTCAATGTTCTGTACCTCATGGTCATGTCAAAGCCGATTCATCATAAGGGGCTATACAATCACTGATCAGTTTTCCCACCTGATTGAATGACATCATTCATAACCAGAGCACAGTGGTGCAGGGCACAGTCTCCAGACATCATTTGCCCTGCACAAGTGGCTGCTCTGCAGTGTCTGATAGGCTAGTTAGTGTGCTGATGGGCCTCAGGAAATATGGGCTTGTTGCTGTCTGGCACAGACACACACACCCATTAGGAAATCATCATAACAATCTTTCTCGGATCAGCCCTCGTCTCTTATGTATGAAATGATGGCCTGTAGATGTGAGCGTGTGTGTGTATCTGGTTGGCTGGCTGTATGTGGGACAGTGGACAGCTGTATGTGAGGCCAGACTTCAGATCACAATAAGCGTGTGTTTGTCTAAGCCACATATTGAGGCTTGGCTAATTAATGGTCAAGACTCTGATGACAATGTCTCATTTCTACATGATTAGAGTCACTGTCACATATGACCCCAAATGAGAAAAAGTTGGGACAGCAGATAAAATCAAAACTAAAACTGAAAATAATGATTCTGGTGCCTGCAATACATTCCAACAAAAGTTGGGACAGTAAAACATTTACCACAGTGTGATGTTGCCGTTCCTTTTCACTACACTTAAAAAACATTTAGGGACTGAGGACACCAAGTGATTAAGTGTATCAGGTGTCATTTTGTCCCATTTCTGCTGCAAACAATATATATCTTAAGGTGCACAACAGTCCTGGGTCTTCTTTGATGCAATTTGTGTTTCAAAATGTGCCACACATTCTCTGTTGGGGACAGGTCGTGACTGCAGGGAGGCCAGTCCAGACACTCGCACCCTTTTCCTCCACAGTCAGGCCTTGGTAATGTGCAGGATGAGGTTTTGCATTGTCTTGTTGAAATATGCATGGGCGTCTCTGGAAAAGATATCATCTTGAAGGCAGAACATGTTGCTCCACTATCTCTGTGTATTTTTCAGCATTAATGGAGCCATCACAGAAGTGGAAGTTACCTTTGCCAAGGCCACTGACACAACCCCAGACCATGACAGTCCCTGGCTTTTGGACTTGTTGCTGGTAACAGTCTGGATGGTCCTTTTCGTCTTTGGTCTGGAGCACACTGTGTTCATTCCTTCCAAAAAATACCTGAAATATTGATTGGCCTGACCACAGTACACGTTTCCACATGATAGTCCATCCCAGATGCCTCTGAGCCCAGAGCAGTTCACTGCGCCTCTGGACACTGTTGACATAGGGCTTTGGCACAGCACAGTTTTAAGCAGCATTTATGGATGTAACTACGTGTTGTAGTGCCTGACACAGGTGTCCCAAAGTAATCCTGAGCCCATGTGACGATTCTTGAAGCAGTGGCGTCTGAGGAATCAGAGAGCACGGTCATCCAGCTTAGGCTTGTGCCCTTGTTCTTTACCCACTGAAATCCCTCCAGATTCCTTGAATCCTTTAATTACGTTCTGCATCGTAGAGGGTGACATATCCAAATCCCTATCTTTCCTTGAGAAACATTATTTTTAAACATTTCAATACTTTTCTCACACATACGTTGGTAAACTGGCGGTCCTTGGCCCATCTTTGCCCCTAAAGGGCTCTGCCTTTCCTGGATGCCACTTTTGTACCAAATCATGATGCAGTCACCTGTTGACATCACCTGTTTCAAATGGAATCATCACTTTATTGTTTTACCTCATTACTGGCCCTGAAATGCAGCCGTCCCAACTTTTGTGGAATGTGTTGCAGCAGCAGGAGAGTTTATTTTGAACAAAGAATAAAATAATGTGCTGCTGTATTGTCTTCAATGTAATACAGGACACAGATGATTTACAAATCACTATTTTCAGTTTTAATTTTAATTTTGTATATTCTCGCAACTTTTTCTGATTTGGGGTTGTAGTCACTAACTCTCAAATGATTCTGTATGAGCCACTGGTGCTGTGCATGTGATTAGGTAGATGTGCACTACTGACTGTTAACAGCGCAAATCCACATACTATTCCACACAAAATATGACTTATCTTCAGTCGCCCATTTCAAAACCTGGAAATTCAGCTAAAACATTTGCATTTTGACAATGTGTTAAATACGTGCTAAACCAAGGTGTTGTTAGTGTTTACACAACAGTGGGAATGTTGGTCTGGCAGATCAAATTGGGTGGAGTAAACAATGAGGCACCTACCTAGGTCATTGTCTGGCTCCTCTGTATGTACCCCTTCTACTCAGCAGGACAAACAGCACAGCAGGATGGCATCAGTGTTGAAGGCAAAGAAAGGGGTGCGGGGGCAGGGAGGTAAGAGGGAACAAGATCTGTGAGTCTGTGAAATGTGATAGCAACGTCTTGCCACTAGGGGGCAAGCGTTAAAGGCAGTGCTTCAACACCATGTGACAATTCATACTTAAAAAAGTCACATGGCATGTTTCTACCAAATGACTGGAGCTCTACTTGTGGGCTGAACACTGAAGATGAACTGCTGTAGAATTTCATCCAATCTGAATTGTCAGCTAACAACATTATCTATCAATCAAGCCATTTATCATATACAATCATACATGTGTATGCACACCTTAGAAGAGGATTATAATATATTTAATTGCACAAATCACGTTTATAAAAACAATATGAATATCTTTGTGTGTCTGTATGCATTTTTGACTGTTGACTGCTGCACATGCTGCTCCCATGCAGCATACATTCTGTTATATTCTTATATATTTTTTATTATATTGCTGCATCTGTTGCTGCTTAAAGTGCCTTAGATTTTGTGTTATCTACTTTATATTTCATTTGTATTTTGTGGCATTCATGTGGACAGCAAAGTAAGAATGTCATTGTACAGGGAAACATGTTTCCTAACTGTGCATATGACAAAATAAACGCTTTGAACTTTGAATGAGTTGGTTGAAAATCTGTGTTCAACATTCAGAAGCAGGCAGCCGCGGGAGCCCTCGGTCAAGGAGGTCGTTACTTATTTGACCTAGATGATGCAGTCAGTTCCTTGAAACTGTGGGGCATCTGCTGACAGAATGAGCACAGAAGAGCAGTGCCACTATTTTCTGTGACCCAACACTGACACCTAAAGGCTGCTGGGGGGACCGCTGCTCTGGCATCTGTTTTTGTAGTGGCAGAGATGAACATTAATGGACACAGTTGATTAACTACTGATATATTTTAGTCATCTATAGGTTTTCATTTCTAATAGTCTTAAAAAAAGAAAGGAAAAATGTATTTAAAAAAGGAGAAAAAAGTCCAGGAAACCTCCAAAACAATCAAATCATCTACATCACAACAAAAAGATGTGCAACATTTGGTGTTCATTTACATCACTGAATAAATAACCGTGGTCAAACGTGGACGTACCATCGTCTTCATATTCTTCCAGGGGTTTCTGAGGCTTGTCCAGGCACCGAGGGTCTATCCAAGAAGTGGTCTTTGTATTGTGGCTAAACAGAACATACAAGAATAAAATTACCTGGAGATAAAAAAAAGTGATGTGAAAAATCTCTCTCCTCACATCTGGTATGTAGAAAAAATGATTTCTAAGATTGTGACAGCATCTAAAGATTGTAGTACGGCACTGAAATGAAGACTTTTGGTTTATCACGAATTGAGAGGCATGCCTATTCATATTTGTTGATATGGATACTGGAGTCAGGGGATGTTCTAACCTTTTCACAGTATTAACAAAGGTTAACAAGACTGAAAATCAATGCTTTCATTATATTTGTGTTCACAAAATAACAGCCCAAAGTACACACAAAGCATTCTAGTGTGATTTGTTAGAGAAACAGCTTTTGTACCGCTGACATCAATTACAGTAAAGCATAGTAATCAAGTCTGTTATAAATCACTGCACCTAGACTGTTCTTTAAGAGTCTTCATACATAAACAGCACCATCTCACAGAGATGTCAGCACTTACCCCAGACAAAGTTCATTATACTCAGCAGTATAAGAAAACTGGGAGCAAAACATGTGACAGGGTCTTTGAGGGTAATTCACTTTTCGTCAGGCAGCCCAAACTGCCCCACATTTTAATTCAACATCACTTATAAGCCTGAAAGTATAGAAGCTGTATGTGAGCCAGGTGCTGCAGAAACTAAATGATCTTAGGTGAATAGCACGTTCGATAATATCATTTTATATGGGATATATACATGATTATAAAATATATGATTCCTTCACGTCTTTTAAAATTATATATTTTCTAAACCTTGCGATTACTGTCCCCAATAATAGATATTATATTAAGTTAAAACATGGATATGTAGCCTATATGAGCTTGAAAAAGATTTGATTTGTTTCCGAACCTAATGTCCTGTTCCAAGATGAAACCTGACAAGTCAGTGTCCAGATATCCCCAGATCTCATGAAAATTCCCAGCTGAAAACAGGAGTTAAACATTGGGCTATATATACTACATACATGTACATACAAATACATGTAAAGGACCATGTGAAAATATCACCACTTTGAAACAGTTGGAACAACTAAAGGCAGCATAAACAGCGACTTACTCCATCTAAAGCAGCACCCACCAAAAAGTGAACACCGACATACTGTATTATAAATGTGAGTGTGACTGTGTACCCCAAGGTACTTACTCTATAAAGTAGACCTCTCCGTTCTCGGTGTAGGCCATCTCCCAATTGTCAGGCAGAGGTCCCAGTGGATCCTCTGGGGGAGGATGGCTCAAGTGAGAGTGTGTCTGCTGTGTGCTGTCCGTGGTGGCCGGTGGTGAGGGGGTTGTCTGAGTGTAGGACGGGTCACTCTGGCGGGGGGCGAAGGGGCGCACTGAGTGTTGAATCTCGTCTAATTCGCTAGAGTCTCCTGGGGGACCAAAAGACAGCACAGCTTGGGGTTAAGCAATATTTTGCTAACAGGAGGCTGATTACATTTTCAGGATAAAAAGTAGCTGCGAAACCAATGTCTAGCGCCACAAGAGAAGCCTTGAAACCTGATCAAAAACAATAATTCCCACTGCTTAGTAACTCTGACTAATTTGAGATGATTTTCAGTGACAAGGAACAAAACACTATTAGATGTAGCACAGGTGTTAGAAAGGTTTCTAATATGACACCCTGTGTCATATAAAAAAAACATTTATGATAAAAAGATACTTTCTTTGTACTCCTAAGATGTTTCAGAAGTGCAACAACAAAAATGTCTTTTGAAAGTGCAGTCCAGTACTTCCAAGATCAGAAAAGCCTGCCATTGCTACAGTCAAAAGACTTCCCACAGCTTTCATATCGTGTTTTGACAGAAATCACACTACTTCCGAATATACTACTTCCTACAACTATAGAGACACTTGCTTCCGTTAAGAGTAGGCAGTTCACACCTACTGTAGAATCATGGCCTCTGAAGTTCTATCACCTGGCTTCCTGTTATCAAATTTTTCACACTCACACTTCACCGACACCCTCATAGTTCACACAATCACAGATGGCAGATAAACAACTTTTGGTCCCACCTTCTAAAAACACATGGCAGAAACAGCTTTTGGGCTGAGTCAAGCTCTTCACAATGCCTACTGACCTACTAACACACAAGAGGAAATATCAAAAAATGAGAGCAGTAAGCCAGGAAATTCGCCACTAACACAGCCCCTTTAAAACCAGCACTGGTGTCAGCATTGGGACGGGAAACAGTTTAAATTAAACAAAGGATATCTTCATCTCGCTCACAAACACAAATGACCAAGCACATCATTAAAAATCATTTCAAACACGGAGGCTGCTCAGTCATCCAGCCTCTGCATTCTTGCAGCCAGATGGCACTATTTTACATTTATGGATGCATGGATACAGGCAGATGTAGTCAAACCCAGAGACCACTTACTCACCAATCCAAGAAGCACTTGTATTCTGCAGCCCCTCGCCACACCAAAGTGCTCTCTCTCCAAGTACTTTGTGCTCTTTCTCCTACTTCTTTGTTTTCTGAGCTTATCCTTCTTCACAAAATACAAACACCCCTTGCTTCTCCTTCTCCCTCAGTCCACTCCTTTTCAGTCTTGCCCCCTTTACCCCCTCTCAGCCACTCCCTCCTTCTATTTAATTTCCTGCTACCATCTCTCCACTTCCATCCCCTCCCACTTCATCCATCGCCATTCACATTCTCCTTCTCTATCCTTCTAAACAAAGCTGCAGAAAGTAGGATAGCATTCTAGTGTAATAATCCAAAGCAAATACAGCACAGCATGTTCTCAGGTTGCTGTCGAAGACAGCTCTGCAAACAGCTTCCTGTGTACCCAATGACTTCAGGTCTGTTTGTTCTAAACTTGTTCACACCAGCTGAAGAAGCATGTTCCTCAAGTTAATGTACAAGTATGGCTAGTATAAAAAAAAAAAAGCAGTAGACCATCAATAAGTGGCATGCAGCTGGCCACATGACAGATGTTAATCAGTTTCAGGAAAAATTATGACAAGTGAAGCTAGCTAGCCTGCACCCACTGTGTTTTTCAATGCCAAACCTGATGCTTTAGTTTGGATGTAGCCTGTGCAAAGATGCCAAATGTAATTTAGTTTGGAGCAGGCTGCCAGCTGTGGGGCCTGATGCTCCCTGGTATTCTTTATCCAAATGAATCAAAATTGTGTCTAAATCTGTTTGAAACAGAATGCTGTTTCCAGCTGGCTTCCGAATGTGTTTCAAGTGTGTCTTAACAGGAAAAGTGCACATCTGTGCTCAGCCAAACTGCTAGAGGACTGTGAGCATTCAGTGCCCAGTGTGTGTGTATGAAAAGGAATTTGTCTTCGGTACAGAACTGAGGCAGCCGCCTCTGGTGCCAACTCACACACCAATGGTGGTGCTGTCTCTACAAGGTGCTGCTCTGGCCATTAGGAGCAACTTGTGGTTCAGTGTCTTTGCCCAGGGACAGATGGACATGTGTACTGGGGAGAACGGGAATCGAACCACCGATCTATTTATTTGCATGAATGGGGGAGACAGATTTTAGTCCCTCATACAGGTCAAATTGCCAAAACATTAAGTGGTACATTTCGCATGGATGGTGTCTTCTATCCGACTCTGACCCTCTCTGATTATACTGTAAGTGACCGTGACCTAAAGAGGTTCTAATAGTAGTTTGCAATAGACCTCTATCACAAGTTTGTAGCCAAGCACTGACAACCCAGATGACATCATCAGGATTATTTTCTCAGACCTGACAAAACTCCCACCAAAACCATTACACAACTGCTTTCATAGGCCAAGTAGTACTTCTCATGACAAGTAAAGTGACTTCACCAGTATTTTATTATAAACCTGAGTTTACCAACTGATTGACACATTTGAAAATTCCATTTTCTACTATTTACATTATGTTAAACTACATGACTGATCACACTAATCCCCCAAGTTGCCCATGATGGCGGTGCATACGCATGCAGTGGCCCGGGGCCCTTGGCTCCAAACAAAATTTTGTTGCACGTGTTGCAATGTTACAATGACAATAAAATAAAGCTTCTTCTTCGTGACTTTTAAGGCAGTCTGGGATTTGGAGAAACTGTCTCTGAAAAGTGACTTCCAGCCAAATAAAATAAGTTTCCACCCAGCTGTCAGTAAAGTCTCAACATCTGTACACTGTGCTCTTGCAGTAGTTTATGACTTGAGCAGCAACCCATCTGCTGTACGTACCTGTAAAGCTACTGTTCATGTCAGGGAGGTCCTCGTCGTCCTCCTGCTGCTGCTCTCCAGGCACTATTTCAGCATTGTACATGTCATTGTAGGACTTAGAGCGTTGGGGTGTGGTGTTCTGCCAGCCCGGCAGGCTACTGCTGAGCCTGTCTGGCAGTGGGGCATCACCGGCTACGGCTAATCACTTTCCCACTGGGGGGCTGCACCGGTGGCTTTGGTGTCCCATAATAGTTACCTAGGCAACGAACAAGAAGGCAGGGAGGGGGGGATAAAAAAAAAAAAAGGCAAAGAAAGAAGGGCATTTTAGTAAGAGGACAAGCAAAGAGGGTCACACAAGATTTTTTTTTGTGATGGAGGAGGTTTAGTCACAGGCTTTGTATGCAAAGAGAGAGGCTGCATTCTTCTGTCAAATCGTTCTCCAGTGCCAGTTCCACATTTCAACTAAGATAATTTTAAAGGGCAGAAAACAAAACATGCTGAACTAATTTTTATCCTAAGTATGATGAAGCAAACCTACTGTGTAGAGACATTACCATCTAAAAACCAGAACATAAAGTCAATATCTTAATGAGAGAAGGTACCGTAATCATCCAAAATATAAAGGCAACAGGCAGCAAAACCACAATTAAAAGGTACGGTGGCAAAATGCTTTATAATTCAAACAGGAAATTGGCAGTTTTCAAAAGACTATTTAAATGCTAAAAGCATGGTCCTAAAGTCCCGATATTTAAAAGTCAACAATCAATCATATTATTATATCTGTAGACCAAAAGATAATTTTATTGGTGATATTAATCTCTACAGAGGAGTCCCAGTTTATAGTTTCAGTTGGAGAGATATTACAACAGAACATACAACCTACAGTCAGGAAATATTCAGGTGTAAGGACTCTTTGCTGGTCTGTAGCTTATACCCCACCAGGGTCTATGCCACACATAGACCTGAGGTGAAAGCTGATTTAGGAATTAGTAATTTGGTGTTCAGGCATGGTACCATGTATAACATTCTTTATTAAGTCCAAACATCATTTCATTTCAGAGTAAATTGAGTAATAACTGAAATATTTCCCATTTGTCTTTTGAACCAGTGTGCCATACCATTTTTTTTTTCTCATTTTTAGTCACTATACTCAATTGCAAGGCCTTTAAAACTGCGGAAAATATTTGAATCATCAGTTGGGCACACTTGACTAATCCAATGATACAACTATAAACTCAATTTTTCCTGTTTAAAAAAAAAATGTTACTTTGGTTTCAGCATAACTGTTAGTTCTAGTGGCTGGCAGATGAAACGGTGCCTCGCTCTGGTTCCTTGTATCATCCCACCCATTTTTATAACATCAGTCTCTTGTCCCATCTTCAAGCATTGCTGGCTAGAAACTTGGCAGTTCCAGAAGGGAAAGGATGATTTCTGTATGTCTCAGACTTCCTGTATACCGTCTTCAGTGGAAGTGAGCATGCTAGTTGCCAGTCAGAAGTCCATTGGCCTCACTAGCTTCTCCTTGCCTGTCATCGGACGCAAATCTGTTGTTATGGAACACTGAAGAAGTTGAGTGGGCACTGAAAGTGAGTTGTATGGGGCAGTATTGTTGCTTACAGTCCTTCCAGTGTGTCACAAGTGTCTTTGGCTCATCAGCAAAGCAGAAGAGCTGTGCAACATACAGTCTTATGCAAAAGTTTAGAAGCAGAAGAGCTGTGCAACATATGTGACAGACTTTGTGCCATGATCACTGAAACTAATTGTTGTTGACATCATCGGACGCAAATCTGTTATGGAACACTGAAGAAGTTGAGTGGGCACTGAAAGTGAGTTGTATGGGGCAGTATTGTTGCTTACAGTCCTTCCAGTGTGTCACAAGTGTCTTTGGCTCATCAGCGAAGCAGAAGAGCTGTGCAACATATGTGACAGACTTTGTGCCATGATCACTGAAACTAATTGTTGTTGACCGTCTTGGTGAGATTCAGGAGCAGGTTTATCATTCTTTTTTTCCTAACAAATTTAAAATCTATCTTTCTATTTGGGTCCCACATTTAATGTCAATTCCAGGCATAAAAATCAAATGTCTAAAATAATCGGAATGGAAACAATGGACATCAAATAGATCAGAAGACTAAAAGAGTCTAATCACCTTTGTTGCCCATACCATCATAATATGGTGTGAAATGTGTGCTTGTGTGCACAAGTGTCTAAGTGTTACTTGTGTACAAGTGTCAAACACTAACAGTGGCTACTGACAACTCTCCAGTCAAATTAAGTGCAATAAAAATTCTATCCAGATTCTGACTGCATTTTTTTCAGCTTTAAAGCAAACTTTTTTGTGATCTACTTTTCTTGTCTAGTTAAGCTAGTGCTTCCCAACAATTCTGAAAGTTATATCTTTTACAGTTCCTTTAGAAAGGAGGTGAACATGTTGCTGTGGGCTATCTGACCTACATTTTTGGTGGACAGATTGAGGGCAAATGCAGTAGCATTCCAAAAAGCAAGAGTACATGAGTTTTTCCATTTGAGAAAATCAAAAAGTACAACTGCCTTCGTGCTGCATTGGACTATGATGCATTGAAGGGATCATCTGTTGAGACGTTTGAGCAATGGATTTCTTTCAGTGTGACTAGTGAATGTGCAAAGAATGAACAATGTGCTCTTTGACTCAAAGGGACTGACATTAAGATTTGACTGTAACTGACTTGACTGGAGTGCCAGCTGGAGGCAGGGAGGGAGCAAGGTTCCCTTGCCTGCTGTGCCAGCAGGTGCACCTGTCCAGAAGTAGGCTGACTGGCCTGGATGGGGGTACAACACGTCTGCATGCTGACAATGTATGGGGAAGTTGAAGCGCTGGCTGGAGCTACAAAGGGACTTGGTTATTTTCTGTCATTCAAGCCTGGCACACCTGTCCTAAGTCACAATACATGCCACTTGAGGATTTGAGTATGTTCACTTACTGACACACACAGAGAGAGAGAGAGAGAGAAAGTTGTCTGAGAATTCCTGTGTACTGAAAGCATCGAGTACATTAGTGTTACTGAAGGCTCATATGTTCTTCTGAATGGCATCCAGTAAATGCAAGCAGGATTTGCAAAAGTCTATTTTGTGTACAGGGTTTCCGCAGTGTTAACCAAAATTACATTTTAATACCACATGGTGCTTCACCATCATACCTGTCAAAGGATGATGGAAAACCAATAGGGCCAGTAAGGCAAACAATTATACATTAAGAATATGAATTTACCTTTTCACCTGAATTGATTTATTTGTCACATTATTGCCTGTATTTTCCAGCACTGAAACTAATTGTTGTTGACCGTCTTGGTGAGATTCAGGAGCAGGTTTATCATTCTTTTTTTCCTAACAAATTTAAAATCTATCTTTCTATTTGGGTCCCACATTTAATGTCAATTCCAGGCATAAAAATCAAATGTCTAAAATAATCGGAATGGAAACAATGGACATCAAATAGATCAGAAGACTAAAAGAGTCTAATCACCTTTGTTGCCCATACCATCATAATATGGTGTGAAATGTGTGCTTGTGTGCACAAGTGTCTAAGTGTTACTTGTGTACAAGTGTCAAACACTAACAGTGGCTACTGACAACTCTCCAGTCAAATTAAGTGCAATAAAAATTCTATCCAGATTCTGACTGCATTTTTTTCAGCTTTAAAGCAAACTTTTTTGTGATCTACTTTTCTTGTCTAGTTAAGCTAGTGCTTCCCAACAATTCTGAAAGTTATATCTTTTACAGTTCCTTTAGAAAGGAGGTGAACATGTTGCTGTGGGCTATCTGACCTACATTTTTGGTGGACAGATTGAGGGCAAATGCAGTAGCATTCCAAAAAGCAAGAGTACATGAGTTTTTCCATTTGAGAAAATCAAAAAGTACAACTGCCTTCGTGCTGCATTGGACTATGATGCATTGAAGGGATCATCTGTTGAGACGTTTGAGCAATGGATTTCTTTCAGTGTGACTAGTGAATGTGCAAAGAATGAACAATGTGCTCTTTGACTCAAAGGGACTGACATTAAGATTTGACTGTAACTGACTTGACTGGAGTGCCAGCTGGAGGCAGGGAGGGAGCAAGGTTCCCTTGCCTGCTGTGCCAGCAGGTGCACCTGTCCAGAAGTAGGCTGACTGGCCTGGATGGGGGTACAACACGTCTGCATGCTGACAATGTATGGGGAAGTTGAAGCGCTGGCTGGAGCTACAAAGGGACTTGGTTATTTTCTGTCATTCAAGCCTGGCACACCTGTCCTAAGTCACAATACATGCCACTTGAGGATTTGAGTATGTTCACTTACTGACACACACAGAGAGAGAGAGAGAGAGCAAAAGTTGTCTGAGAATTCCTGTGTACTGAAAGCATCGAGTACATTAGTGTTACTGAAGGCTCATATGTTCTTCTGAATGGCATCCAGTAAATGCAAGCAGGATTTGCAAAAGTCTATTTTGTGTACAGGGTTTCCGCAGTGTTAACCAAAATTACATTTTAATACCACATGGTGCTTCACCATCATACCTGTCAAAGGATGATGGAAAACCAATAGGGCCAGTAAGGCAAACAATTATACATTAAGAATATGAATTTACCTTTTCACCTGAATTGATTTATTTGTCACATTATTGCCTGTATTTTCCAGCAGAACATAGCAATAACTTCTACAAGAGCTAATGAATTAATTTGCTTTGGACTCAAATAAGCAGCAGAAAACCGATGGATAGATTAACCAACTAAAAAAATGTATTAAGTATTAAGTGATTCCAAGTTTTTGCTAAAGTTGAAATAACACAAAAATGAGAAAAAAATAAACATAATATATAATAAGACTTTGTTAATGAAGTGTAAGACTTTTAATATCTTTTCAGGCTTTTCTGAGGGAACTGAATTCACCACTTTTTAAGTCCTAATGATACGATGGTGTGAAAAAGGTACATGTAACACTGTCCCACCGCGACTGTGTCTGTGAGCCCCGTCAAGAAAAGGCAGATTATCCTGCTGCCGCAAAAACACGATTCCTCCTCTTCTTCAGGTATCTAGGTATGTTCCCTCTAGTTAGCAAACCCCAACATATTTTTTTTATATACCTGTAGGAGTACTCAAAACACCTATGATTAAATGAGTTAATTTTTTGTTTTACCGTCATATGTTCCTATTTCCAACAGAGTTCCACTCTTATCCAATTTCAGGAAGTCTTCCACTGACAGGAAGTTGTAGTCTACGCCAGAAACCTCTCCTTCACGTGGGGCTCGGGTGGTACCTGGGCATCAAAGACAAAGTAGGAATTAGCAAATTCACTAAACATCGCCTTTTTTAAAGACATCAGAAAACTGGTTTAACAGCCGTCTTCTTCTTAATATTATATATTTGACAAACACTTTCCACATGTCCAGCTTTTAAAGTAAACACAGCACAGGATGTACAGAGTCTGAGATTGTATTTACAGTGTTAAATAATGTGAAATAGGTGGATAAAAATCATGAATAACTTGATAGAAAGAACAGCTCTGAATATTCCTCACTCTATAGTTACAGTAAACTAGGGCTGCTGCAATTAGTTGGCATTTACTTCAACTTTGAAAATATGTTGACATCAGTATTATTATGAACTTTTTGATTTCTAAAATTCTTCAGTCATTCATGAAAACAAATGTTTTTGTTCAGTATCACTACATAGCTGGTTACCAACCATAACCACCAGTAAAATTCACAGAGGGCTATCACTGTAGTTGCTGCATGCTTGTCAGTCGTCTTTTTTTTTTTTGCTCCAGTCATTGGTCGACCGCTGTCAACGCTATAGTTTTAAAAAAACCTTGGCAGCTGCAGCGGAGTCTACAGAGTCTCATTTGTCTGCACAAAAGTTTCAGTGTAAAAGATACAAGGCTTCTAAAGTATAGGAGAACTTCAAATTATCAATACAACAAAGTGGTTAGCAGCACTAGTGCAATGGACAAGCACCTGAAGAGAAAACACACAGGCACTATTCTGCATGATAAACAGACAGAAAGAAAACTCCGCTATGTTGTTTGTTCATGTTTATTAAATTCTAAGTAGGGAGATTTTTTTTTTATAAAGATTCTTTTTTCCTTGTAGATGCTAAACAATTATTAAAACCATAAAGTTGTCATTTTGAATCTACATTTGAATTTCCATTGATTAAGTGTAAGAAAATCAGATCAATCAATTAAGTCAGAAACTGTTTAGGCTGTGTTTATTCTACATTTATTGATGATGTCAGTGTACGTGTGCACTGAGTTTGTGCTTTCTATTACACAGTCTGTGGTTCTTGCATGTTGCGCTTGTGGGGACATTCCTATTCGGAGGAAAACTAAACAGCTAGTTGGTAAAATAGTCAGTAGATTAATTGATAGAAAAATGGTCAGTGGCAGCCCTATAGCAGGCGCCACAAGGGAGATGATCCATTGTTTGTCATGATGTTCCTTCACACTGGGGTAGTGTGAGGTATCAAAGTATCACCTTAGTGGGATACTGCCATATGTAGGGGAGTGGGAGTGTATGTGAATGTGTGCATATTGTTTGGCATGTAGCCGGTGAAATTATAGCACTTGCCATTAATGGCTGCTGACAGTTGGCCAGTGTGGTATCAGTGGTAAACTGCTTACAGCCGAGACAATGGTGAGATGACAACACAACTGACTGTAAAACTCACACTGTCTTTTCACTAGCTCTCTTGCTCTGAGCTCTTATTTTAACATAGAAAAAGAAGAAAAAAAATTAAATCACCTAGACAGTCCAAAGGACAGCATAACTCTCTCATTTGGTTTGTCCTGATGGACATCTGTTTGGCAAAGGTCTTTCCCTTCTTATTTGCTTCCATTGCTCACCTTCCCCCTCTCTGTCTATTCATCTTATCTTCTGATCACTCTCTGTCACCAGTGGTTTGGTAAGCAATAAGTTGGTAAAAATAGCTGTGTGGGGATACGGGCAGAGGCTCCCACTGCAGCCACATTCAGTGACACTGGTGATAAATCACAGACGTGAGGATCCTAACTCAAGCAAGCATGCATTACGCTCTCACAAGCAAACAATACATTTAGGATACATCCCAAGTCTCTTATATGCACAGTTGTTTCCTTCACTTGTGTCTTTTCCTTACATCTTAGTCAGTTTGATTACCCAGCTGTCACAATCATAGTTGATAATCTTTGTTATGGGCTACTGTATTGAGGGACGCAGAGGGGGCATCACTAGCTTTCAAAATTTAGTGCTCACAAACTTCCAGAACTCAATTATTTGTGACCAGATCCTCATGCACCAGCAGAAAACTGATTTAAAGTGAAACAAATCCTTTCTGAAGTCTATCAAACAAACTGCATCAGTTTGTTCATTCCGAAGGACCAAGTCTTTTACAGAGTATCAACCTTGGAGAGTCCTCAGCTGAGCCCGAGCACTCAGCCGACTGTCAGTTCACTTCCCACACAAAAGTGGCCATTGATTCGACTCCATTTAGACACTGCTGCTCTTAGAAAGCCAAATAGGAAGTCGAATTGTGACTGGTGTTTCAAAAGGGACAGAAAAGCAGAGTGTTGGCTTAGACCCAGGAGTGAGACACTGTCATTGCTATAGGCTTAATTCATTCAGTAACCCCTCCCCACAAAAGCTCCATTGACCAAGCTGTGAAATAGAGTGACAAGGAAAGACAGGTTTGGACTGAGAACCATACATAAAGATTTCTGACTGGTTTGGGACTGGATGACTCAAATGGTGGCTCTTTCAAATGCTGACTTCTAAGATGTGGAGAAAGATGGAGAGACTACCAAAGCAGAGTTAGCATAATCCAGCTACTGGCACATACAATAACACCTTGGAGATTTGCTGTGAGGGTGTTCTAGCACTGGCAAGCTCATGGCTTAACAGTTTCAGCATCTTCATCAGCTGAGATGGGTGTGTGGGCACGAAAAAAACTCATTAACATTTCAAGAAGATGATCAAGGATTCAAGTGTTAAGATATTGGCAGTTACTGTAGCACAGGGAGCTCAGAACCAGTACTGCTGCATCAAAACACATGCATCAATGTCCACAAAAACTGTAAATGTACTGCAGCTTGTGAGTGTAAAATACACAACAAGAAGTAATCTAGGACTGTGTATTCCTCAAAAAAGTAAAGGGAAAAAGTCGTTTCTTTGTCTTCATGCATCAATGTCTATAGATTTTGAATGAAAGATGTTGAAAGAAAACAGAAGAGAAAAAACAAACATTTACAGTGACTACTATGGTTTTGACACCGACTCTATTCTGAATACGTTAGAATTCTGATTTGCCTGCTTATACTTGGTTCATACAAGGCTGGACATCCAACTTCCATGTTTAGACTGAATTATGTTTGTAATGGTGAGTTCTGGAAACAAGAGCATCAAGAGCTGACATTTTTGGATGAGAGTCAAGCCTGAATAATGACTGAAGTCACCTCCATGTTACACCATATTGAGAAAAGTCAAACCTCATCTCTCTTTTATCTTGCCACAGTAGTATCTTATGACTAACTTTGTGCAAGTTCTGCAAAACACTGTGCTTTAAGGCAACCACGTTTTCCACTGTAAACATGTTCTCAGCTACTGGAAGGTAGGGCATACATTGTCAAGACTGCTTTACTGTCACGAATTACCAAACAAATTAAAGCATACACATAAATAAAAATTTTAATGCTGCGTCTCTGTTTTCTGAAAAAGTACCATATTATGTATAAAATTCTGACAGGGACTGAAAACAAATGCTGTATAGAGGACAAGTTTCGATGACTTGTTAGTCACAAAGTGGCTAAACTTGGCCATGGTAGCAGCTACAAGCTAATCAACCAGCTTACTCATAGACAGCAAAATTAAAGCCTCTGCTTCTTTTTTGAATTACACTGAGTGAAACCAATATTAGACTAAGAGACTATATTCAAAATGAACACGTCTGAAGATTTAACTACATGAATGTAAAGCTGGATGTAAAGCATGCATAGTTTGCAAAACAGTCCTGTCCCTCACAATGACAAACCAGCCTTTTCCCTCTGGCAATCCAGCAAAGGACTGATTCTCATCTCATACCGGCCATCACAGAGAAGTCTTATAGTTGGCATATGTGTGTGAATGTCAAACATACCTTTGCACACCTGCTTTGTCTTATAATGGTAAAAAATGGTTGGAACACCTCTTGGTAAAATGAGAAACTGTTCCACCCCCTACCCGCCAGCACACTCACATGAACACACAAACACAGATATACACACACTTGCTCTCTGACAATGGGGAGGAGGTGCATGGCCACCAAATGGCATGGTTTGGGGCTAAACAGGACGGAGGGTAATCACTTAATGGAGCTTTATATACCCATCTCCCCTACAATACACATACTCTCTCTCTCTCTCTCTCTCTCTGTCTCTGTCTCTTTCATTACCATAACAGCGACAGAGGGAGCACTGTCCTGTCTATGCTGTGACCCACCCACGGCTACCAGATTAGACCCCCACAATGAGGAGACCTGACCTCTGTATTGTATCTACAGTTATTCAGCGTTGACTAACTTTGCTGTAGTTATTCTTGTGTGACTCAGCATTGCACATTGACCACAACTATGGCAAAACAACTCAAAGTGCTGCCTTGTTGTGGGTGAATTACATTTTTAAAGAAAGAAAGAAGGCTGTAATTATAGCTTTAAGGTTTATCAAGTATCAAGACATACTTTTAAGGCCAAACACAACTTAGAAAAGTTATCATGGCAGCAATACTTCTCTCCTTTGTACAATGATACAAGTAAACACTTTAGGGGAGTATACATAGTATGTTACTTTACACTATTTACAAGCACATTTCTGAATTGTTACCACGGTGAGTTGCCGAGTAATGTTATATGGTGTTTTGGCATCACACCATAGAAGAACTAGTGAGCACCAACCTTCTAGACAGCACTAACCTGCAGAATAACTAGGACTGTATTAGTGACTTGAGCTTAGTTTTAAATACTATAACTCCTTCAAAGCTTTCACAAATAAAACACAGCAGTAAACAAACTAAATTTTTAAATTCAGCTGGAAAGTCCTCAGTATAATCAGCAACGTCTCCACTTCTCTCAATTGAGCACAAGAATGTGTGCCCAGGGCACTCTTATTTATGACGTAACTTGCCATATCAGCAGCAGTGGTAAGGAGTGGATGTAAATATTGTCTCTTTTAATTAACACAGAAAAGATTGACAATAGACTTCAAGTTCCATCTTGACCATATATCCCATTGAAAAGCAGTGTGCACCTTAGTGA